ATGTTTAGTTTTATTGGCTAGATATTCTTCTGAGGTTTACCAAATATATGTCAACATATATGTGACCCACACATCTGCAAATTCCTGTAGTGGTTAAGTGCGCAGACTCTAATCTGGGAGAACCGGGTTTGATTCCCCACTCCTCCACTTGCAGCTGCTGGATGACCTTGGGCAACCCATAGTTCTGTTAGAGCCGTTCTTGAAAAAGAGCAGTTTCTGTCAGCTGTCTCAGCCCCACCGACCTCACAGGGTGTCTGTTGTGGGGAGGGGAAGGGAAAGGAGTTTGTAAGCCGCTCTGATACTCTGAGTGAAGGGCGAGGTATAAATCAAATCTCTTTTTCTTCTCTTCTGTATCCTACCAGGAATCCTCACCAGGGAGCCAAGTTTTGCTTGGTATCCCAACCAAGCATAAAGTCAGGTAAGTTTGTAGTCACGTATTGGCTGAAATAGACCTTCATTGTTCCACTCCCTTTAGGATAATGATGAGTAAGCCTTATGTTTGTGTTGTACCCACTCTGACAATAGACACTGGCCCTGGTCACACGGGAGGATTTGCCCTGCAGGAGGGACGGATCGGGGGCGCATCAAGCGGGCGCAATCATACCGCAACATCTGGGAAGCGGCGCGCACCCATCCCCAATCCGTCCTTCTGGGCAAAGACGCAGCTCAAAAAGGTAGTAGCAAAACAGCACTACCTACCGGTTGCCGCGCAGCACGGGCGGGCGTCTGATCGCCGACGCGCCCGTCTTTCCCGCAGCATACAAGGCCCTGCCGAACTGCACATGCATGCGCAGTGGGCTCGCCTCACTCTCTGGTCAGTGGCTTCCCCCCGGCATCATGCCGGGGATGAACTGCGTGGTGGCTGGGGGGATCTGTCTGATCCCACAGCCGCGCTTCTCTTTTGATGCGGCTCTAAAAAGCCCCACTTCAGCCGTGCCTTTCCCCCTAGTGTGACCAGGGCCACTGTCAGTTACCATATATAATTTCACAACATATTATTTGCAGGATTGGCTCCAGATTTGGGCAGCAACAGCCTGCAATGTCCCCTCTTCATTCCCCTATTGGTACTGCCCCCACAGTAACATTCATTTCAGCTCCATTCCCCAAGTAGAGCTGCGGTGGCTCAAGTGGTTAAGACGCTGAACTGCAGGCTGTGGAAGGTCAGTAGTTCAGCAGTTCAAGACCCGAGTGTGCCGCATGACGGAATGAGCTCCTGTCTCTAGTTCCAGCTCCTGCCAACCTAGCAGTTCGAAAGCAAGACATTGCAAGTAGATAAATAGGTACCACTTTGGTGGGAAGGTAACAGCATTCCGTGCGCCTTGGTGTTTAGTCATGCTGGCCACATGACCACGGAAACGTCTTCGGACAGCGCTGGCTCATCGGCTTTGAAACGGAGATGAGCACCGCAACCCTAGAGTCGGATTCGACTGGCTTTCGAGCAAGGGAACCTTTACCTTTACCTTTACCCCAAGTAGAAATCTGGCTGGCTACTCCTTGTCTGTAGAACGGTGAGATCCCCCTAGTATACGCTGTGATTATACATGAACCACTTCCATTTCCTGAAAGGGAAGCACTTGCCAACGGCAGAAAACAATTTGCTTGTGCTCTTTTTTGGTCATGTCAGCATATGAGATCATCACACTGGCACCAATGTCTATGGCGCAACCTACAAATGGCAATGATTTGTGAATTGATTTGCACCTCCAAGAAAAAAAGGGAATGAGTGGGTATTTGTATAGGGAGTTTATATACAAACTACCATATATAGGAGCTGCGGTGGCTCAAGTGGTTAAGACGCTAAACTGCAGGCTGTGGAAGGTCAGTAGTTCAGCAGTTCGAGACCCGAGTGTGCCGCATGACGGAATGAGCTCCTGTCTCTAGTTCCAGCTCCTGCCAACCTAGCAGTTCGAAAGCAAGACATTGCAAGTAGATAAATAGGTACCACTTTGGTGGGAAGGTAACAGCATTCCGTGCACCTTGGTGTTTAGTCATGCCGGCCACATGACCACGGAAACGTCTTTGGACAGCGCTGGCTCTTCGGCTTTGAAACGGAGATGAGCACCGCAACCCTAGAGTCGGATTTGACTGGCTTTCGAGCAAGGGAGACCTTTACCTTTACCATATATATACTTCTCTTTGCTACAGAAAGGGGACAGTATGATTTTTGTTGAAATTAAGTGACCTGGTACAACTGAAAAGGTGCTGGGAAAATCTAACAGGCTCGAGACAGTTTTTCAAGTTACTTCAGACTACATCAAATCATGAGGGAGGTAAATAGAGGTTGTTGTTGTTCAGTCGCACAGTCGAGTCCGACTCTTCGCGACCCCATGGATCATCTCCCGCCAGGCCCTCCTGTCTTCCGCCGTCCTCTGAAGAGGTAGGGAGGTATAACTGAGATAAATGGAACCGCTCAAGTCAAGGAGTCCCATCATGAGTATGTGAGAGGTTCTGTTGCCAGTACTTCGTTGTCTTGAATGGTTCATGGATATCAATTCTCTATTGTCTAGCCAGGATAATGCAAATTATATCTATGGGAAATCCTTCATTTTTATAAACAGTAGAAGGTTTATTTGGGATTGGAGCATATTTTCAACTACAAATTCCTACATACTTCCCTATACACCCCTTTCTGATTCCATCACTATGTCTAATAATAAAGTGGCATGCCCTTTTGTGGACGATAAAAGCCATTCAAAGAGACCATTCACAGGCAAAAGGGGGTGGTCTACACAGGGGACTCTAAGTATCTCTTCTTCTAAAACAATAACAGCCTTAAATAGTAAATTATTCCTAGAATTCAGAGATGGAATACTTGCAGCTGATGATGCTGATGATGCCCTGGCTCTATATGATAAATTCATTCAATCTTCTTTTAAATATCTAGGGGTAGTGTTTCATCAATCAGGTTCTTGGTCAGAACATACCAAACAGAAGCTTGAAAGAGTAGTGATTGACATACTTAGATTTTATAGAGAAAGGAGAAGCTCATTGGTGACTCCCACACTGGAAATTGTAAAATCAAAAGTACTCTCTCAATTGTTACACGGTGCCCCAATTTGGGCTTTGAGAATTTATACCCATTAGAAGTCATACATAATAAATTTGTGCATATGTTGTTGTGAGTACACAATTCAACTCCATCAGTTATTGTAAGATCAGAGGTTCAGGTGAACAGCCGTGTTGGTCTGAAGCCACAGAACAAAGTTTGAGTCCAGTGGCACCTTTAGTCCAGTGGTCTTAAAGGTGCCACTGGACTCAAACTTTGTTCTGTAAGATCAGTGCTCTCTTTATGCCCAATAGTAACATTAGTTCATAAAATTGCTGTTAATTTTTGGCTGAAGATCTTCTCCCTGTAGTCAACTTTTGTAATTTTGGTCTATGAGGAGATGAAAAGCAAGTCATGGCACTCCCAGATATTGTCTTTAGTGGCTAAATTAGGATTTTCTGAGGAATACCTAAGGAGTTTGATCCCTTTATAGCCAGACACTTAATTAAACAAATACTACTGGATATGAGTGCTCAAACAGATTTTGGGTTACTTAGTACCCTGAGATCAGCTTCTTTATACAAGCAACTTCTTTCTCTCTCTTTAACTGTTCTGATAAACTCTGATGATTTGCTGATTACTGAGTATAGAAAGGCGTTTACTAAAGATCACATGGACATTTTACAACTCTCAGTAGTGAACGGTCAGTATAATGACACCCTATTTGATGGATGAGTTTGCTCTTGCTATTGAAGATCTGGCCCATGTGACCTTTTGGTGCCTGAGGTTTACAGAGGTTCGAGAAAGATATCTTGGGAATATAGTATTATGATAGGGAGATCAGATCTGAATAAACTTGTAATGCTATTGGCAGATGGAAATACAGCAAATGGCAAAGTATATTGCCATGGTTGTTAAGAGTAAGATAAAGTTAAGATCTGTGGATGTAACTTCTACTAATGGATAGTTTTATTTTTTGTTATGGTGCTATGAAATTAATCTTTGTTGTTATGGTTGTGAATATTATGCTATAGCTGGCAATATAA